ATAGCAAAATGCTGCTGGTACCTTTCTATCCTAAATCATTCCTCAGAACAATTTAAAAGTGTGTGGACTCTACAAAATTCAGATTTCATTAGAAATTACAAGCTGCAAAACCTAAGCCCATCCCACTCCCTCCCATCATGCTAAGAAAAAATATCACAATCAAACTATTACAAATAAGTTAAGGTATGAAATCTTTTTTTTGTTTTTTCATATTATAAAATAGTGCTAAGCTCATTTTCCCCACACAGACACTATTCTAGCACACATGCCTAACTACAAAAAACCCTGAAGCCCCATTTACCAATAGTTTTTATATACATTTTGAATCACATGACTCACTGGGATTCGAAAGGACTTTTAGAGCTGCTGATATGTGGTTTGCAGCTTTGGTTAGTGAGCGATTTGGTTACAGCTCGAGAACCATAAACCAACATGTACTACTGCACTTCCTCACAATAATAATGCGTTTTGAATACCATTTCTTAATATTAATTAGTTATTCAACAAAAATGCATTGCTCAGGTCTCTTCAGGCTTGTGCAGGCTGTTAAAGCCAGCACGTCAGCCTTATTAGACTACTAAAGCTCTTGTCATGAACAGAGCAAGCTTCTGCACAATGAGAGAGGATGGTGGCATTAATTAGGGAGGGAATGTGAGAAGAATAAAGAGATCGAGGAGGCAGGGAGATAACACAGACTGTTGCCACTTAAAATATTAAGAGTTTGCCGAGAGTAGCAGAGACATTGAGGAAATGGGAGAGAATGACAAGTGGAGATAGAGAGCAATTGTCAAACAGTGCATAATGATTGTAAATGCATCCAGCTGGAATTACTGTGTGTTGTGATGCTGTTTATCTTCACTTGTGTATGCTAAAGCATTGGAGTGTTTCACCTCATTTACTTTGTAAGATTGTTATGAATGCTACACAGGACTGGCTTTCTGAGTAGCTGAGTAGAATTGTAGCATTTTGCTGTTTTCATGTATTGGCTGATTCATATTAGAGTGAATTATTAAAAAGTTTTTTTTTGGTCTCAAATGCAGACTTTAATAACAGCCATTATCAAGACTTTTATCAATAAGACGTCCTTATAATTTCACATGTTCCCCATTGTCTCCCATATATAGTTGCTGACCCCTGTCATTGAGCCCCTGTCAACCTTTTCTCATTCCGAAGTCGACAGATACCACTGCTTGGTCATTGACTTCCGTGTCAGACACTGATGAAAAACAAGCATTATTTTGTGTTGGTATGATATGCAGCCTCAGTTATCAACACCACCAGATGGTGTCACTTTGAAACACTACCCGACAATAACGTAATTTAAGGAAGTGGGTGGGAGTGGTGGTGGATGGGTCCAACAACATTGGACTTTCACCCAGGAGGCTGGTGTTCACCTCCCATATGAATGTAAAGCCAAACCATGATGTGGTTTCCAAACCTAACCAGGTGCTTTTGTTCCCTAAACCTAACCTTGTGCTTTTGTTGCACAAGGAAATAAACGTAATTACGTGGTGTTTCAACAAGTTTCTAAGTTTATTTTGACAAAGACTGGATGCATCCAATGAGCAGAAACTGTACATTTCCTGTGAAAACTGAAGTGTATTTTGAGAAGACACAGTGCATGTAATGGGCATAAATGGGTCCCAGTCAACACATGCATCTAGGATACCTAGCACATAAAATGTAGACATTAAAGTCCACTGACCAAGCAGTGATATGTGACAAGTTGGGAGTGAGAATGCGTTGCCCCTGTTGCCTGTTGTCCTATGCAAGTATAGACATCCAGCATGCACCCCCCACAAAGGCCATGGAGCCACCAACTGCTTCTTTTCACTTGAGAGTAAGGGGTTGTACCAGTTTTACCAGCAAGAGAAGCTAGTGTGAGCAACAGATCATACTCCCATACCAGCTCCCCACCTGCTAACATGGCCAATTACTGTGTGCTGTACTGTTGTGGGGGGCTCCAGGCCGAGCCAGAGGCAATGGTAACTACATAGTGAATCCAGGTTTCTGCAGTGATGGGTAATTGTTTTACATCTGTGCTGCTATGACACTCTCATTACAGTCATCTACACACACACTTGCCTAAAAAAGTTTTACTGCAGGATGAAGAAATAAGGTATAATTCTTATTGCTTTAAGCATTAGATTCATTGAAAAGCTGTGTTCTGTTGCTTTAAATGTGTTACTTGTCTTTAACAAAAGGCCATAGGAAGCCATGGCTTACAGTGATTTTAGAACAACTATAGGGTGTTGTTGGGAAGGCTGATAGTAAAATGGCTTATTGCTGAACAAGGCCCTTATGGATAACTGGGTATTGAAATTTTACAATTGTAGAGATTCAGCAAACACAATTCAAAACAATATTTACTGAAGAGACTGTCTTCCCCAAAAATGACAACATAGGTTGTTTGTACAAGCAGCTGCATACAACCCATACAGAAATGCTCCAGGGATAACATTTTTCTTTAAGCCAAGCGTAGTAATTATAATGAGAGAAAAAGAAGAAACAAAAAACAAAACAAAAAATAACAACACAGTTTGACCCTGGAGAGTGGTGTTCATGTCCTGTGTGAAACAAAATGTTAATTTTGAGGTTTTTTTTAAGTTACATTAACTGACATAACATTAACTGGGTAACCTGACATATTTGACGTCAATTATGTAACAGGCATACTTATGTTGACCCAAACCATGACATATTTCTAAACTTAACCAATCAATATTGTTACCTAAACCCAACCCTTACTATGACCATTAAAAACCACATGTTCAAAACTGTGACCGTTAACAGCCATGTATATTTTGTTTTGTGTTGGTCTCCGAACACCGCCAGGGGCACTAATTTAGGATACGCTTCTGTGGGTCGTATTTGATGACAGGGACAAGCAATGTGGTTTAATGGGTTGTTAAACACAGAAATCAGAAATATCCCCCACCCTGAATTAGCTAGGTATCAACCGGGTCCATGTCATTGGTCCGACAGCCCGTTGGTTCGACATCCCATTAGTCCGACTGTCCGCGGTGCTGAATGGCTCGCGGCCGGCGTATGGTGCGGCACGACTGGCTCTGGGTCAGCTGGGAAAGGCTTGAGGCGGAGCAGGCTCACGGCTTATGTGTTTGCCACTTTCTTTTTCATTTTAACCCACACCATGATCTTTTCCTGACCCTAACCAAGTGGTTTTTGTGCCTAAACCTAACCAGACCTTAACCACAGGGCATCATGATGATTTCGGAACAACGGGACTTCAGAACAATGGGTTTAATATGGTCGGAACAATGGGATGTCGAACCAGTGGGCTGTCGGACCAATGGGCAGTTCCCTATCAACCCAAGCCAGCTGTTTGGTTAACCTGCTGGCTGGACCGAATGAAAGTTTTAAGAGGCTGCTTGCCCAGATATACCTTGTTTTGCTGTGGTTGTGTTTTCAGTATCTCTACAGTGTCAGTGGTGAGTGCAAAGTTTGCATGACCCATTAGCCAGAATGGCCACAATTACAAGTGTAAGACCCATTTTATAAAATTTACCAAGACTTCCCTTTATGGGCTCACAAAACTTTAAAAACAGATACCCTCACAAAGTGACATTTATCAAATCTGGACATGGTCAAGTTTTTTTGTTTTTTTTTTAAGCTTACCCCCATTTCCCAGTGTCTACAAATAAAGTGTAAACACATGTAAACAATTTCTTTCTCTAAAACTTGTTAGACAAGGCATTTAGATAATCTTACATTTTCATTACCATCACAAATTCAAATTATATTTTCTATTTTTTTAATTTTATTTTTATTTTTAACGTGACCCTTTCTGAATTGGCAACCTGCTCTCATTCCAAAGTCGTCAAATACCGCCGCTTGGTCAGTGATTTCTGCATCAGCCATAGACAAAAAAGCATCCTTTCGCAGTTGTATGATAAGTCATAGGGTGGCATCAGTTTATAATGCTGCCAGAAGACAACAGCTTGAAATGCTGCGGGACAACAACGTAACTTAAGCAGCTTGAAAGTCCCTGTAGGGCGGGTGGGAGGGGTGGTGGATGAGTCCAACAAACACCAGACTTTCACCCAGAAACCATGATGTTTTTTTCTAAACCAACCCACATTAATTTATAGCCTAAACGTAAGCTTGTTTTTAAACATAAATACAAGGTGTTTTACCAACTATGTAAGTTACTTTGAAAAAGACTGTATGCATCTAATGAGCAGAAATTGTACATTTCCTGTGAAAACAGAAGTGTATTTTAAAAAAGAGACAATGCATGTAACAAACGTAAAATGACATGCTGTCCCAGAATGTCAATGACAGACGCCTCCAGGATACCTGACACATCATATATAGACCAAGCGGCGATGTGTGATGAGTTGGGAGTAAGAATATTTTGGAATTAGTGCTATAGTTTTCTTAAAAACCTCCTTTACTGGGATTCATTTGAATAAAGGTTTTTGAGACAACAGAGAAAGTGTCTCCTGAAGGACTCGTGGTAATTTAAAAATCATCAAATGCCTTTTATTTCTGGTATGCTTTCACTGGAAGAGGGTAAAGTGCAATTTTAACAACCCCATTGTGTCAGTATTATTTGCATATCTAAGAGCTAATGTGCAACAAGTTAGTTTTAATACATTCATAAATCAGAAAAACAGTTTTTCTCTTTTACAAATCTTGATATGAAAATCATTCAAAAACTTTTTTCACTATATTCTGGACTGCATATTGTTGTCATTGGTTGAATATTGGTTATAGGTAAGTGTGGAATCATGGGAATAAATGACACTTGGGGTGGGAGTTTGAATCTCTTTTGTGTTGAGCAATAATACTCATTTAGTGTGTGGATTCTCATTCTCTACTTTTCCAAAACTGTAGTATGATGAGTCAGATGGGATTTTGAATCGAGCTTCAATTAGTTTTTATATCTGCAATGTATTTAAATTTTATGGACTTGATCAGTGGCAGTTTTTTGCTCTTATGTGCATCCAAGGTCACTGGTGTGTCTGTCTCGGCCAAGATCATATTGTGTCACTTGGATAATTTTCAAACAAGTCCAAGCCAAAACACACCAGCCTCTCAGCTGAGCGGATGGCCCTGAGGATGAGAGACAGAAACCGGTTCATGGTGCTGTGGCAAAGTACTTCCTTGTCTGCAGAGTTGTGTTTGACTGTTTTGCTGGTGACGTTACAATGCAGGACGGCTTCCTGTGAGAACCTGAGGATGGAAAACTGAGGAGTCTTCCCTGGAAGGCTGTATAACAGGTTCCTATAGAGAGAGAGGAAGAGAGAGGAGAGTGTCATTGAATAACTTCATACATACAATGCATACAGGCAGAATATGACATGCAGCCCGCCCCCCCCCCTGCCACCACTCTCCTGCCCGACCCAATCACCAGAAAAAATGCTGGCAGTGTACATTTCAGCAAACCACAGATACATTACATTTGTATGTTATTAGGTTGCAGATACACTGAAACTTAACCTGTAGTTAGGTTTAGGCACAAAAAACTACTTGGTTATGGTTAGGAAGAGATCATGTTTTGGTTTAAAATACATGGTTTTAGGGGCACAGTCCTTGCTGGAAAAGCACCAATGTCTTGGGAAAAAAAATGCAGCTGCTTTTTGTGGCACTATCACAACTGGAAAAACAGTGACGGGTTCCTTAAAAAAACACCCACATTTGGGTGCTAAAAAGAAGCTGGGAAAAAAAAGCCATTAGTCCCTAAAAAACACCCATGTTTGGGGACTAAAAAAACGCAAGAAACACAGCAATGATTCACTTAAAACAAACAGTTTTGTTGGTTGTTGGACGCAAACTGCGGTCAGCAGCTTGGCAGTTGTCTCAACGGATGTCACGCCATCCACCATCCTCTCTACCTGCAGATGACAAAGTCAGCTTGTATACGAAGTCACTTTACAGATGTTGATATGATCCGTAACAAACATGCAAATGTAAATTTGTGGTTTGAAGAAATGTTAAAAGCCAGCATTTACTCCCTCTGGTACAGCCTTTTGCAATTTCTTGTTTACTTTTTATGCTTTTTTTTTTTAGTACATGTATATATATATATATATACATATATATATACACATATATATATATATACAAAGTGTAGGATGCTGAAATGTAGGAGGACTGAATACATCTGGCAATCAGAAATAGAAATAACCAGGAAATCAGACATAGCCCCACTGCAACAAACTCATCTTAAACAATGCAAAGCTTGTGAATTCAAACAGAAATGGGTAGGACAGGTTTTTAATTCAGGATGGCGATATTGGTACATATAAAGGCACCTTTTGTACATCAGGGTTCTGTTCTGACCCCGAAGGACGATTTATTATCACTGATGGTTTACTTTACAATGAGGCTATAGTTAGCATAAATTTGTATGTATTTTTATGCAAAAATCTTTGCAAGGAGACTAGACAATATTTTACCTAAACTCATTCATATTGACCAGATCGGTTTGTAAGATCCAGACAAACTGCAGACAATATGAGAAAAGTGATTCACATAATGCACTACGCCAATTTGACAGCTGAACCAACAATTATGGTGTCTTTGGAGGCTGAAAAAGCATTTCACTGCATTGACTGGTCTTACTTTTTTTAAACTTTGAACAAATTTGGGTTTGGCCCAAATTTTATAAATTACATATTACTTATATACTCAACACCTTATGCCAAAAACAGTTACAAATACCATAGCTCCTGAACCATTCCAACTTAGACGAGGTATGCCTCAAGGTTGCCCTCTGAGTCCTATGCTTTTTGTCTTGTCATTAGAACCCCTGGCCACATTGATCAGAGGAAACAACAAAAGCAAAGGAAGTGCAGCTCCAATAATGGAACTGAAAATAAGTCCTTTTGCAGATGATATACTGCTAACATTATCAGATCCTCCAACCTCCCTTAAATATATTCTTGAGACTGTGAAGGACTTTGGAGCCATTTTTGGATATAAGATTATTAGGATAAGTCAGAGGTTTTACCTTTAAATGTTCACTGTCATAAATCACTTATTGCTAATTTGCCATTTAAATGGTCGCTTGATGGGATGCATACATATGTGGGAAAAAGGGGGCCTAGGCCTTCCAAACATGTACAAGTATTATATTGCATTTAACTCTAGATATCCTTTGAAACTGGCTTATGGCTTTAATTCAAGTGACACCAGATGGGAAAGCATAGAACAGGAAGCTTTAGAATTGTTAAAAGAAAAGGTCTCATTGCAAAGAGCTATGGTAAGGCTCAGTATGAAAGAACATTGATAATTAACCTTTGAGTTAGTTTTCCTACTCTATTGTCAGTAAAAATATTTCAGAGCCTGATTAATTACATGGTCAGTAACTCTCCCAGTGCTCCTTTAGGGATTAACTTTAGGTTCACGTTGAACCTAGAAAATGATGACTGGGAATCCAGGGTATAAGAACTTCAGTCAATTTTAGAAATTCATATGACTGAAAACTGAGAACTTTTGATCAGGTTAAAGCTGCATATGGAATTACAAAAAAGAAAAAGATTCTCTAAAAAATATGCAAATAAGGTCACAATTGACCAAATTGTAACCATACCCAAGATGACAGAAACTGAGACTAACCTAGAACCAGTGGTCATAAATTCTATTATTTTTTCTACATATACACTTATTCTGAATTTGATGCCTGCAACATGTTCCAAATATGTTGTGAAAGGGGCATGTTTATCACTGTGTTACATCACCTTTTTTTTAAACAACACTCAGTAAGTGTTTGGGAACTAAAGACACTAACTGTTGAAATTTTGAGAGTGAAATTCTTTCCCATTCTTGCTGGATATAGGACTTCAGTTGCTCAACAGTCCGGGGTGTCTGTTGGAACACGTGCAGAATGTGTTTCATTTTCTTGCTGGAATAAACAGAGATGTCCCTGAAAAATACATCATCTGGATGGCAGCGTATGTTGCTCCACAAACTGTATGTACCTTTCAGCATTGATGGTGCCTTTACAGGTGTGCAAGTCAGTCATACCATGGGCACTAACACACCCCTGCACCATCACAGATGATGGCTTTGAACTTTGCACTGTCAACAATCAGGATGGTCTTTTTCCTGAGCCCATGTAGTAATATCCTTTCTACAGTCATGGTGGTTTTTAATGCAGTGCAACCTGAATGATCAAAGGTCATGGGCATCCAATATTGGTTTTAAGGCTTGCCTCTTAGCGGAGATTTCTCAGAATTCTCTTAATCTTTTGATGATATTATGGATTGTAGATGGTGAAATCCATAAATTCTTTGCATTGTGCATTGAGACACACTGCTGTCTGGACTGTTGGACTGTTTGCCCATACAGTTTTTCACAAAAAGACACCATCCTTGCTTGTGAACAACTGAGCCTTTAGAGGGTGACCCTTTCATACCAATTAATGATACTATCATCTGTTACTAATTAACCTGTTTACCCGTGGAATTTTCCAAACAGGTGTTTTTCGAGCATTTAACAACTTTCCCTGTCTATTGTTGCCCCCATTCCAACTTCTTTGTAACATGTTGCAGGCATCAAATTCAGAATAAGTGTATTTATTTATTAAATCATTTTCCATAACTGCTTATCCTGATACAGGGTTGTGGGTGTGCTGGAGCCTATCCCAGCTGACAGTGGGTGAGAGGCAGGGTACACCCTGGACAGGCTGACACATAGAGACAGACAACCATTCGCACTCACATTCACACCTACGGGCAAATTAGTCACCAATTAACCTAATGTGCATGTCTTTGGACTGTGGGAGGAAGCCAGAGAACCTGTGGAAAATCCACGTCGACACAGGGAGAACTTGCAAACTTCACATAGAAGGGCCCCAGCTGGCCGGTGGATTTGAACGCAGAACCCTCTTGCCTTGAGGCACCCCAAAATAAATGTGTATTAGCAATAACATTTATTAGTTTGAACATTAAAGGGGCAATAAGCGGAAATTCATCATTTCTAGATTGAAGGAATTAAAAAATCGCTATGTGAAGTAGGGATGTCCCGATCCGATATTCGGATCAGTATCGGCTGTCGATATTAGCAAAAAACGTGCATCGGATCGGACTGCATGGAAAAATGCAGATCCAGAACTCGGATCCAGTTTTTCATGGACTCCGATCCAGGTTTTCTGGCCAGCCCAGCGCCCCGCGATTCAAGCAGTTCATTCCAGTGATCCGCTCCAGCACTTACTATCAATCCACCAGGCCAGCATGCAGATGGCAGACACAAAAGGAGGGTAGGAAGAGTAGCGGTCAATTTAGTTAACTATTTGTTTTCTGCTCTGGGTTTTTGAGAGTGATATTTTTATTTGGTTTACACTCTTACTGTGAAGTAAAGAGCACTTATTGCATTGTTTTGGGCACAATTAGTGAAATTGGAGCCATGGATGGACTATTGCTTGTTTAAACAGTTGTACAATATTGTGTGTGGTTTTTTGTCCCCTCTGTTGGTCCCAGGAAACAGCAGCACCAGGCTGGCACTGACACTACTAAAATAACTGAAAAGGAAAGGCTGCATTGTTTGTTAAATGTTAACAATATCTTGTGGTGATAATCTTTTTTTTATTTATTAGGGGGCCAAAGCACAAGTGTGTGGAGTCTTGCTGCTATTTTAATTTCAATGTTAGACATTTTAAAGATTTCCTGTGTTGATTTATTTTCTATTTATTAAGGGGCCAAAGCAGCCAAAGCAAACCAGCTATATTTTTTTATTTAATATTAATGTTCAAGTTTAAAGTTTTTTTTAATTTAACCCCGTTAACAATAAACAGGTCAGTTTCTCATACCAACTGTTGTGGATCATTCTAACTAACCTGATTAAGTAGTTGTTCTTGTTAGAGTAATATCGCTTGATCAAACCTTTTCTAACATGACTGACAAAAAAAAGTGAGTATGTATAATACGCGCTTGGATCGGATTGGTATAGGTATCAGCCAAAACTCAAGGCTGTAATATCGGTATCGGATCGGAAGTGAAAAAGCTGGATCGGGACATCCCTAATGTGAAGAACTAGGGGTGTAATTTCATCTGGAGTATAGCATGACGTCACACATCCTCTCTCTGTGTTGATCTCCAGCCCTTTGTTTACAAGCCGGTCTGGCTGCGCGTTCATGTATGTTCATGTGAATCGCTGCCTCCTCCCCCCCCTCGGAGCCCTTGGCCCTCCCTCCCTATAAAAGGCTACAGCCGGTGAGCAATGGCAGCACGTATTTTCAAAGTGAAATGGCGGAGAGCGGAACGAAACGTTCACCTGAAGAC